CACGGCCCCCTCCTCGCCGTCCCGCGCTGCGCTCTTAGCGGGAGGTCACGGCGCTCGGTGCCCACCTGAGGACTGGGGAGGGGGCCCCCCTCCTCGGGGGTGGTGTCTCCACGTAAATCCCTGGAGGTTCTTCTGCAGGGGAGAGATCCGTCCCTTCTCCCGCCTTTATGTATTCGTGTCAGCGTGGACTCACGGACCCTCATCTCACACCTTGGGTTACAGTCCATACTCTTCATTCAGTCCACTCTTCAGTTGTCCCATCTTTGCCCCCCAGTTGGCTCCTCTCGAGGCGGCCAGAAGCAAGGCCAGCCCCCACCCGTGCGCAGGGGAGCGTTAAGGACGAACGCCGAGACGTGGGCGGGTCCTCGCGTGTGCAATGCTCCGCCACAGGCCCCCTGAGCCTCGACCACGACCACCCGGTAAGGTGCATGGCCCAGGGATTGGGGCCAGATGGAGAGGTACCTCTGGGGCGCAGCGAGCGGTGGGAACAGGACCCTGACCTGAGGCTCTGCACCAGAAGCCCCTTCCCTCCCCTCCCTCCCATGCCTCGTGGGGAGGAGGCTCGCTGGGCGGTAAGTGGCAGCTGCCCAGTGAAGAGATTTCAGCAGCAACCGCCTCCCACACCTGCCCGCTCCTTAACAGGTGAGAGGTCAACCTTAAGCCTCACACCGCCCGGAATTCATACTAAAGCGTACCTGACTACCATTAGCACTGCTGCTGTGCGCAAGGTCTTGGTGGAGGGGCAGCCCTAGGCACGGAGACAGGGGTGGGTAGATGTGACTGGGAGGGGCGTCCAGCAGGGAAAGAGGAGGGAAGCAAGGGGCCCTTGTCAGCATCTGGTGGGTCGGGGCAGGTGCTGGCCGTGGGGAGGGCATGCCTCCCCTCGGGGAGCCCTCCGACCACAGCAGCATTCTTAGGGAAATTTCCACCTAGTGGAGTCAGGGATGCTAAGGAGGGATGAGGAGAGGCCAGGAACAGCTTTTCCGGGGACTGTGGGTGGACCCAGGGCCGTGACCAGCTGGAGGAGGGCAGGCCGTGGGCACAGCTGGCCACTGGAACGCCCAAAGGCTGGGACGCACTAGAGCGCGGGGCTGAATGAGCATCAAGGAGAAGGGCACAGGCTCCCTCGCTGTGGCCTCTGAGATGGACCCGGGACCTGTGGCGGACACAGCTTGTGAACGGGAGCCTGACTCGGGTCTGTCCCAAGGGGCTCTGGGATTTCAGGGCCCGGGTCTCTCTGAGCCTCAGTCTCCCCTGGGGTGAGTCCTGGAAAGAGGCTGGGCAAACCCCAGGTCACACACGTCCCTGGAAGTCGGGCGTGGGGCAGAGCTGTGGGGTCAGGGCTCCCCCACGTCTGACCCCGAGAGGAGGGTGGGGAGGCTGTGTCTGACCTCTGACAAAGGGAATTGGTGGCCAACGCAGCCAGGAGGGAGCCAGGGCAGACACGGGCCTCAAAGGCCCCACACTGGGCGGGTGCCTGTGTCCACCCACCCGGCCACCGCACCGCACGGGGACTGAGCCCCTGCCCGTGGGGGATGCCCTTGGCCCAGCCAGGAAATAGTTTCTGGACCATATTTTGGGGGGCGGGGGGCGGGGTCTGTCTGCACAGTCTTCTCCCACACGGGATGGAGGGAAGGGCCTCGCTGCTCTTGTCCGAGGACAATGGGGCTGCCTCTCCCCGGTCCCCTCTCAACGGGGCTGAGGACGGGGTGCTGCTCCCCCCGACCCGCCCGGAGCAGGCGTGCTGCAGGTCTGAGGCGCCCCCCGGGGTGTCTGCCCTTGGCTGAGGGTCCACGTGGCTCTCCTCACCCTGGCACGGAAAGAACTCGAGGGTGGAGGGTCAGAAAGGAGCAGAGGAGGCTCACAGGGTCTGCTCCCAGCCTGTGGTCTGCGGGCCACGCCTCGACCAGAGCCCCCCGGGGGAACAGCCCCACCCAAAACGGGGCCACGGCAGGTGGCGGTGGTTGTTGTGGGGGGGGGGGGGGGCGGGGAGCCGTGTGCCCAGGGCCTTTGGACGTGTGAGCAAAGGGAGCAGACACGTCTCCCTGGTGACCTAACAAATTCACTCTGGTTTGCAGTGACTGTTCCGTGTGCCTCTCGGTCATTCGACACTCACGTGCCACGCGGATGCGTGGGGCAAGGCCGTGCTGGCTACTTTCCCACGCCCGGGGTGCACCATTTCCGGCTTTCCCACGCACGGGGGCGGGGCGCACCATTTCCGGCTCTGCTGCTTTTCGAGAGAGTCAGCGCGACCAGCGGAGCCGGCACAGGCGCCGTAAGGACCCGTGACGGTGGTCAGGGGCTCTCCTCCGAGCCGACTGACAGGGCTCGCACCGACACGACCGGTGACGTACGCGGGGGACGCACAAGTTCCGACGAGCCCCGTCTGAGACCGACACACGGTGGAACGATCCAGCCGAGCTTGGCTCGCCTCCCGGTCCCTGTGGGTCGGACGTCTTCCACCCGGCGCGGTACGGGCTGGGGACTTCGTGCATCTCGGGGGCGTCAGCAAGAACATCCTACCTGCTTCCTCTAACGCCTCGAGGGGCTTCCCAGGGTGTCTCCGGCCACTAGGGCCTCTCGACAAAGTGCCGCACCGGGCGGCTTCAGCAACAGACACGTGTTTCTCGCGGTTCTGGAGGCTGCAAGTCCCACGCCAAATTGTGGCGGGGTCTGGTGTGCGGCGAGGGCCCACCTCCCCGCTCGCAGGCGGCCACCCTGGCCTCACGTGGCCTCACGGTCTTTCCTCCGAGCACGTGCAGCGAGAGCGAGAGAGACGTCCTGGTGCCTCTTCCGCTTCTCGTAAGGCCACCGATCAGGGCCTCGCCTTGGTGACTTGGGGTAACCCTGACGGCCTCCCGAGGACCCATCTCCAGAGGCGGTCACGCTGCTAGGTGGGGCTCTAACGCACGAGTCGGACGCAATTCAGTTCCCAACGTGCAGGAGAAGAGCTCGGCCATCTCCCTGGTGTGATTTGCGTCCGACGATGCCCCTGCAGGGATGCGAACGGCGGGCCGTCTGCACCCTGGGAGGAGGCGGGACCTCGGAGCCTGTCCGGGCGCATCCTGCCCCCGCCACCCTGAGCCCGAGGCCACGGACGCGTCACGGCCTCCTGTGCTTTGCTCTAGGTCATAGCTGGGAGCGGTCCCTCTGCCCCTCGCAGCTGA